GTTGAGTTGGTAATTAGTATGGTGATTAGATAATTGGATGATTGGGTGGTCAATAGTTAATTAATTAATAACGAAGTATACTTTCGATGTTTAAGAAATAAATAACTAAACGAAGAGGATAGCTCAAATAGGAAAAATTTGATGAGAACAGTACCAATTAGATTGCTACAATGCAGGCATCGTGAGACAACCCCCTTCCCCCCCCTCTATCTCCTATTCTCTCTACATCCCTGGACCCCCAGTGCCCACTACTTCTCCCCTTTGTCTCTCTCCTTTAACATCCCCCTGAAATTTTTAAATTGCTCCACCGGGCCTCCACCCTGGATCGTACATTTCAGATGAGGCCTGCCACAAAGGGAGCGCCATGGCGGAGGCGCTGGCGACTGCGTCTGGGATGGTTGTCTGCGCCAGTGCTGGTTGCTTGTGAGGGCTGGCTGGCTAGCGAGCGCTGGCTAGCTAGGTTGCAAGCGTTGGTTGGCGAGCGTGAGCGCCCGCTGGCTGACACTGGCGTCAGAAGACTGGCTGGCAAGCGTTGATGCCAATCGTCTGTGTAAGCGATGGCTGACTGGCTGGCGAGCGCAGGCGCCACTTCGAAATAAGGTGGAAGGAGTTCTTCAACAAGATGTTTGGCGTTGCTTGCTTGGCACTGCATTGCGAGCGGGTTAGCGAGAGCGATGTTGCTGCGAGTGTGTGTCGGGAGGCACGAACGATTTAGAATGGAAGAGCTGTCTTGCGCCTGATTGCCGCAGCAGGCTTGCGGAATCAGGGTGAGACTGTTGGCCAGGTCCATACATCTGGCTGACAGGCTATGATAAGCTGGACGACGTTGGGTTGGTGGAGGAGAATGGCATTGTCTAAAGTGCAGAAGCGGCATCAACCACAGCATCGGCAAGTCCCATCACCAACATCATCAACATCATGATCAACATCAACATCGTCATCATCGTCATCATCATCATCTGCATCATCATCATCATCATCATCATCATCATCATTGTCAGCATGAAATTCACAACTAACCTATTCTTAATTGGAAGGAGGGCGATCATCTGGGCAATCTGGTCAAGAAGGTGCACCTATGAAATGAAAAGTGTGTGTCTGGATGGACCAAACTTTACTGATACTATCAAACAACAGATTCAAATAGAATTATCAATTAAATGGGAACACTTAAAGGAAAAAACCCAACATCTATCCTTACAAAATGAGATATGGCACCACATTAATCAATTCAATAGAAGTTGGCTGGGAGGGGACCAAGGAGGGAGGTTGGGGAATGTAATATGGGAAGGAGGACACGAGAATGCTCAGGAGCCTCTTCAAAGGAATTACCGATTAGTTTTCAATGATCGAAGTACAGTCGATCATGCTATTCCTATGAGACATCTTTTTGAATTCCCTTTTTTTTTCCCCCTTCCAAGTAACTGTCTTGTGCCCGCTGCGTGGTATGGATAGATCCTTTGAAAGTACAAGAGTATGGTTTCCTCCACTGATGGTTCTAAGGTAACAACTGGTTAAGTGTTTGGTATTCAAGTCTTTCTGGCACTCAGATTGGGTGAAGAGGCACAAAGCTAGTTCAGTAGTATTAGCCTTCGGGGAAGCTGTGTCTGAAGTGCGGCTGTTTTGGTCTACTTGGACTTTCTATACCATTGTATCCATGGGGTCGTTGGACCCGCTTTCTAGTAGATTGGAGCCTCTTGTTAGTAAGGAAGGAGTGTATGCTCTTTTCATCACCCCTTTCTGATGACACGGGCAAGATTCTTTAAAAAAAAATCTCTTGTTTGAACAAGAGGGGAGGAGATAAGAAGGAGGAGAGTGGTTGGCGAGGAAGAAGGGAGATAAGAAGTTGGTATTTGCTGGTGTACAATGTACAATGTATATCTTCTTCTTCTTCTTTCGTTCATCTTCTTTTTTTTTCCCTCTCTCTCCTCTCAAGTTCACTCATTTCTTTTTGCAAATTGCAATTGGACGACATCGTACTTTCTCATGAATGTGTACTTCGAAATTGACCAGGATCATAACACTCATCTTAAATTGAGGGGTTGTTGGAACTTGTTGCTGACAGACTCCATGTGAGTCCATATGAGACTGTGTTTGCTATGTTATGATAGCAGTTAGGTTTGCCTACTCAATCCTTACTCGCCCTCACTCGCCCTCACTCACCCTCACTCACCCTCACTCACCCTCACTCACCTTCACTCACCCTCACTCACCCTCACTCACCCTCACTCACCCTCACTCACCCTCACTCACCCTCACTCACCTTCACTCACCTTCAACACCCACACGTTGGATTGACCTTGAAAGAAAGTGACATGGGGTGTGCCAATGATTTTTTTTTGGAAATTGAGTGTGGGACTCAGATGGAATTGAAGTCCCTCGCATGGTTCCGGTTTTAACGAGAACGGGTCTCTGTCGCGCGGAGAAAGGGATAAGCACGCCTGATTTGCAAACACACATTCAATCTAAGAAGTACCGTCATGGGCTACCAGCGACGTGGAAGGTCTCAACCTGGTTGCTCGTTCCTGGTGTTCGTCTTCGCCAAGTATTCGATAATGGAACCCCCTTTTCCTATAACGTTTGGTGCGGCAACACTCACTGCATAGACTCGGAGTGCTAGGCCAATGGGGTGCCAATGTTGTCGACAGGATGACGATTAACTCATTAAAGGGCAACGACAATGAATACGAAGGGAAGTGCGTGTCCACTATGACAAAACCATCACCTACAAACCTGGAACACCCCGTCTCTGGTGGAAAATAATATCTTTTGTCGATCTTGGCGACGGCTTCTCATACGTCCCACTCACATACACGTGTCTGTTCCTCGTTACAGGGGAAAAGTTGAGATGGGGGCGCGGAAAGTCGGCACCCGGTCGGATTAGAGTGTTTGGTCCACATGGCACAAGTAAAAACCAGATTACATCCACCTAACTAGTCTGTACTTAATCCAAGAAGAAACGAGTACAACATCCATTTGTTCTAATCAGCAGGCGGTCTAATTGAGAGCGTGCATCCACTCATTCCATAATACAAACATGAATTCCTTAAACATCCTCAGATACTCGGAGTTGCGAGAAAGAAGAGGGGAGTGTCGAGATCATTCGAGTTTTGCGGCCTCTCAAGTTCAACGATGACCGTCCTTGTGGAATCCAATTGAACTTAGCGGGGCGAACGAGCTTATCAACTCAAGGACTCATAGCGACTCCACCAGAGTTCTTTTAGCGTATCAGAGATATGATTGAACAGATGTTTTCTGCTGCTTTGGGTTGATCTCATCTTTCGACTTTGGTCTCAATTCTCCTGTGAATGTTTTGTTGGTGTATGTTGGGATTTCGGAGTTTGAATCGGGTTGGGATCATTACACAGGAGTTTCGACTCTGAAACCTTGATCCTAGTGCCATTCAGCAGTCCAACCCTAAAACTGCCTCAACCCTCATATCCTCAATACCTAACCTCTACCACGCCTCACACCCCGAATTGCTACGATACAAGGTGGCCTGTGACGAACTCATTCCCATACCAGAAATATCTCCCGTAGTCCTCGCCACTTTTGTTGAATCAACTGCCCCCCCCCCCCCCCCCCCTCTCTCCTTTTACTGTTGCTGAGTGTTGGCCATTTAGGCCCTCCCGAACCCAAGAGGACGTTCCCTTTTCCTCCGTCTCTTTTGAATTCAAACATGTACATAGGAATTTTGCGCGCTTTAGTGAACGCGCTGTGAATTTTGTTTGGCGGTTGGGGATTCCAGGATTTGCGGGCATCTTTTTCGTTGACATGTCATTTCTTGAATAGAGAATTTCCCGTACCCGTACTAGAAACATCAGTGAACTCTCGGTGAGCAACTGGATAGACGTGGGATTTTTGTGCGATCAAATTTGTGCGCCTGTATAACATTTGAATTTCTCATTCTTAAAATAGTTTGGTGTAGGAACGCAACTGTTTTCGATGTCATTCTTCTCTCCCAAGTACTAACGAGGCATCTGCAACCTTCCCTCTGCCCCCCCCCCCTCCTTTTCGCTCGTATCTTCCCCCATTCTTCTTCGCGTCTTATTCTCTTCGTCTGTAACTGTTTTTTATCCCTTCTCTCTCTCGTGCTTCACCCTCACTCCTTCCGGTCCGAATCTTGGACCCTCTACACGCTGATTTTCACGCCTTTCTCCTTCCCACCCGCCTCCTGGCAACAGAACACCCTATCGATCCCACCTAGGATGCTCGGGCGCACTGATCGATATCGTGTAAGGAGAAAAACTCCTCCTCGCCTGAAGTAATCAAATTGACTACACAAAAGGCCTGCGGGATTGATATGGCTACTCACGAACGATCATCACAAACCCCTCCTTCGCTCTTCTCAATCCTTACCCCCTACTCCTCCCTCTGCTGCCCTCCTGCTCGCAACAATAAAATCTGCAAACGCTCCCGAAGAGCTCTCTCTCTCTCTCTCTCTCTACCCATCCGCCAACTTCCTGGAAGTCGTGGTTAGGTGATGGGAATGCACAGCGAGTCGGAAAGTCCTCAGGAGCTAACAGTGGTTCCGCAAGGCTGTGCAAAGGTGGCCGCGATGAACTGCGGGATAAGGGGTAGTCAATGTAGGAGCTGAGTTGGCAGGGTGACGATCGTTGTGGTTCGGTGGTTGGTACGTGGCAGTTGGGATCGCCAGTGCCAGTGAATGGAAGCATGTTTGTGATTGAGAGTTGCCTGGTCAGGAGCCATGATAAGAGAGCGGAGGGTTTGCGCACCTGTGAACGTCGATTCTTCCCTTCGTTCTTTTGGGAAAGTTAAGTTCACGGCTGATTGCCAATTTGGTCCCTTGATCTATTATGCGTGCTTATTGTTCCGCCCTTGTCCTCGCCCCCACTTGTTCTCTTGAACTATATATCCCCTCCGTCTCTCTCTCTCTCTCCCATTCTTCCTCTCCTTTCCTTTCCTCTCTGTATGTACGTCGTAAGTAGTGATGTGAGCATCCCACACGAGCCTCCATTTCCATTGTTGCGAAAGCCGAGGCGATTTTCGGTTGTGCTTCCCTGGGAAATTCGAAATGGGCCTAGGGCCTAGGAAGGGAGCGGCCAAGCAGGTCGATGGGGCCAGGCCAGTGCAAGACGGTGCGTCTCTCGGAAAGGTGCAGGCCGAGCAGGGCGACGCTGGCCGGTCTCACGGGAGAGAGAGAGTCGAGAGACAAAGCGGAGAGGAGGCAACAGGGCGGGTAGGAGGAGCGGGAGGAGGTACGGGAGGAGGAGGTGAAGCGGGAGAAGGAGAGGGAGGAGGAGCAGGAAGAGCAGGAGGAGCAGCAGGAGGGGGAGCGGGAGAAGGAGAGGGAGGAGGAGTGGGAGGAGGAGCGGGAGCCGGAGGAGGAGGGGGAGCCGGAGGAGGAGCGGGAGGAGCAGGAGGAGGAACGGGAGGAGCGGGAGGAGGACAAAGTTGTGGTGGAGGAGCAGGAGGTCTCTCTCTCTCTCTCTCTTGCCCCCCCCCCCCCTCCTCTCTCTCTCTTTCTGTGGCTGGCCACGTGGCGGTCCAACTTTTGAAAATGACCTACGAAAAGAAGGGCTTCCCTGTTAAAGTTTTCTTGAAGGTTCTGGAACATTTTGCAGCAAAGAAGGGTCCAATTTGGGGCCTGACCGCTAGCCTTATGCGACAATTTTAGGCCGTATTACCGGGTGCAGATTTGTAGTCCAAGTTGTAGGAATCAATATATAACGGTTTAGTACGTCCTTTTTTGTCCTCTCATCCGGCAGTCCCTTTTCAGGTGGTCGCCCGCAGCTGACTTTCAGCGGCGCGCGACCACTGCCTGTTTTGTCGGCACGATCGGTGGTTCAAGGGGATGCAACATCTATGATGTTAATTCTTTCATTTGACATCCCGCACAGCGGGTACTGCTTTTGTCTACTCCTTTGAGTGACTGTGTGCATCGTCTTCGGGTGGTGTGACTTTCCTTTGCCCTTTCGCAAGCACTTGATAACCGCCGGAGGGTTGCTGCTCCGATTTGGTGGTTAAGACTTTTTTGAAGTAAGATAGAGGTTACGGACTTTTGCGCTCGCCTGCAAGTGATTACGGTGCGGGTGAGAGTTGAGGTACCATGGCATCTACTAGCCAGCAGCGGTCTAGCAGCGAAGTGAGGGAGGGAGCACCGACTGACCGGCGAAATGTTCCTCAATGCTACTCTTGTAAGCATTACGGACATTTTGCACGAGAGTGTGGACTTTACTGGAAAGAACAGAAAGAGAAAGCGGACCGGTTACGGTTATCGGAACTGGAGGGGAGAACGGTGGAGCCGAGAGAGCGGTCTTCTTCGCCACGACGTAATCGATGGGAACCACCACGAAGATCGCCATCAGCGGACAAATACGAATCCAAGTACGGAGCACCTAAAGATACAACCGGCGAATTCGTGGCTATGCTCCTGGCTAAGGAGACCGCTACGGAACAGAAACGCAAAGAGAAGGAAGAACGGAATAAATTACGAAAGGAAGCTCTGGAGAGAGAGGAGAAAGAGAAACGCAGGAGAGAGAAGAAAGAACGTGAGAAGCACGAGAACGATCTAAGAGTGGCGAGAATCATCGACATGCAGCTGTCACGAAGATGGGGACCCTCAGCACAAGTCCGAGACACGGAAAACAAGCACGAGCGACACCGACATAAGCGGACCCTTCAATGGAAGTTGAGACAACCGGCGCCGAAGGACCCGGATACGGACGAAGACTTGGCGGCTATTCAAGCCGGAACGGAGAACTTGACCTTAAGTTCTTCATCTTCTTCTGAAGACGAGATGGAGTCACCTGCTATCACTCCACTTACCTGTACGACACGAAGAATGTACGGTTCGGCAAGCGGGAGAAATTCGCGCCTCCCAATTGTTCCTCGTAACATCACTAAGGAGATTGTCCCGGAGGCCGGCCCAGATGCTCACGATCGCTTCATACGGAATTGTAAGGAGCTGCTCGAGAATTTGGACTATAAAGAAGTGAAAGTGATCTGCAAGCGAGAGCAAGTTCCTTACATCCGTAAACAACAAGCGATTGCAGATCTTGCCGAACGGCGGGCGGCTAAAGCCTTTGGACACTGGAAGGCTGCACCCGCTCCTCCACCATGTGCAATGACCACAAGTAGTCCCGATGCAGCTACTTCTTCATCCAACGAAGAAAGCGATAACGTGGACTGAAGAGCTTGGCCTATTAAGCGCCTCTGGGGGATATGTCGAACGCTGATCAGCAAGCGTAAGGAATGTGTGGGAGTAATTCTGATGTCGAAGCTAGCTTGCGGTGGGTAATTTTTGCTCTAACTAAACGTGGTTGTATACCTGGGGGAAATAAATTTCTCGTCGATTGGGATGATTGGTGCCTGAATCACGAAGATGGGTTCGACTCAGCTGAGTGTTGTGTGTATGTGGGTATTTCACCATACAGTAAATCAATGTATATTGGTAAGACTGAGCGGAACCTTAACGTGAGATGGAATGAACATCGAGGGAAGAGTAGACAGGATAAGGCGGGTAATCACTTCCACCGCTGGTTACAAAGCTACAGACAGGAAAACTATGTCCTTCTACCGCTAGTAGCTATTGTAGCCGATGAGCTCACAACCTTTGAAAGTTACTATATCAAGCACTGGTGTCCTGCTCTTAATACTGTTGGTCGGAGAATCACTAATAGGAGGCGGAGAAGGGGTGGTAAGAAGGAAAGGAAAAAGAAACGAGTGCAGAACGAAGGGCAGAATCTTAGTAACTTTTCGGGCGATATTAAGATCATTTCATTTTGCGTTGACATCGAGCGAGCTAGCATTCGACTAATTAGTATGTTGAATGAACAGGACCATAGGGATGTGAGACGTTTTACACTGTCGTCTAATGGAGGGAACAATTGGTTCGATGGGTGGAAATGGGTTAATCGATGGTTCGGAGAAACTATTGTGGAAAGCAATGGTAAGACTTGCTTGTTACGGGATTGCAAGCATATCCTGGAACGGGGAGACAGGCTGCGGATCGCTAATCTACGTAAGTGGAGGAGAGTCAATACAAAGGGTAAGAGGTATCTCATTTCTCTTCTGAAACAGCGGACTAAGAGAATCACGGCTGAAAGGTGCGATCTCTGCTTTCTACTTGGTTTGTATCCAGTCATTAAGGATTTCCACAGGAAACAAACACGTTCCTTGCTTAGACGTATAGTCAATACGGCTATCAGGAGCGGTTATGGGTTTGACATTCAGAAGAAGCTAGTCGTCAGAGTTCAGTATGACGATCATATTAGCCTGGGAGGGGTTCGTCGAATTCCTGATGGTAAGATCGACGATCTCCCGATTCCACTTGCGGTATGAGACACTTTGAAGCGGAAAGTCATAACTGTTTGGACCAAGAATCCATCAGTTGCTGACATATTACATAACCACCGACGCTACGCTCGTCGGGAGGTTTCGGCCTGCACCTGTACAGGTCTCCCGCTTCCAAGGTATAAAGGACATGTGAGATTTAGGATTTGGGAAGATGTGCGCGTTCCGAAATTCGTTTTCAATGCGTGTAACATTCCCAGAGCCTCCAGGGCAGGTAGAGCAGAGCTGTTACTCTCAAAACTGGTAGAATCTTGTGCCAAATGGCAGATTGGCGGATGTGATAAGCCGTTGTTTTCCCTGGATGAGAGTTTGAGTTGCATGAATGATACCAAGATCCGCACGGACGAGACGTCTAGTGAGGAAGTACATGCTATTGGAAGATTGTATGATGGTTTGGTCCTAGCTCCTGCCGACCGTAATCCGGGGGAGACGATTGTACTCTGTCCGCGATCGTATCATGAAGCTATGCAAGACCTTTTTGTGTGTAGTAGTTGTTATGTGGCTCAGACTGAGCCGGAAAGTGAGATCTTACTTTCGGCAAAAATGGAGTATCGAGCGCTGGGTTTACATCGAGTGCGCAGCTGGGTACCCCATGGGACTATTGGCAAGAGTTATGAAATTCCTAAACACAAAGATCTGGACCGCTTCCGCCCTATCTGCCCTACCTTTAGTGAACCGAGCGCCCTGGCTGGACGTAAAGTGGCTAAAGGTTTGAACTGCCTGCTTAACTCCTTATCTCCCGGTCTTCATTTTAATTTGACATTTGTTGGGGTGTTAGCAAAAAAGCTGGGTAGGATAAATCATGCAGCTGAAAGGGGCAAGTACAAAAAAGTGGTGGGGGCATCCTATGACATAAAGGATATATTTTCGCAACTTCCTCACGATTCGATTTGGAATGCTGTACATTGGTTGCTAGATTGGCATGAACAGCGGGGAAAGCAGAGTGTCTGGGTTAATCCACGAGGACGAGGGGCATCTGTTAGCAAAGGATCAAGGGACTTGGGTTGGGTAGAGATTACCTTTGATGATATTCGGAACTTTGTAAAATTTACCCTTACCCATACCTTTACTGTTGCATCCGGGATACTGCTGAAACAGGTTTTGGGTATATCGATGGGTAGCAGCATGAGCCCTCCCCTCGCCTGTATCATGTGTGCTCATTCTGAGTCTCTTTTCCTGAATTCTTTAGGTAGCCAGAGGAAGTTGGTGCACGGGATACGACTTATGGATGATGTTTCGTTGTTTGTGCTCTGCAAAAAGGATAACGGAGCGTCCTATCTTCAGGCGACCAAGATTAGGAAACGATTCGAGAATTGCTAACCCTGGACCTTATCATTGAAACGAACAGATGATGGGTCTGGGGGTTGGGAGTTTCTGGGCTGCGCCCTTGAAGTTCGTGAGAAACAACCCTTTGTTGGGTCTTTTCAGAGAATTCAGAATGAGGAAGAGCTTAAGCTAGGCTTGGTCACGGGTATCAGAGCTGGGCAAGATTTCGCATCTTGGTCCAGTAGAAGCCAGAAGGCCGCGGCGGTCGCAGGTTGACTCTATAGGATTGATGCAAATACAACTTTTCGAGAGAAAATACCTGTACAGGTCCAACTTTTGAAAATGACCTACGAAAAGAAGGGCTTCCCTGTTAAAGTTTTTTTGAAGGTTCTGGAACATTTCGCAGCAAAGAAGGGTTCGATTCGGGGCCTGACCGCTAGCCCTATGCGACAATTTTAGGCCGTATTACCGGGTGCAGATTTGTAGTCCAAGTTGTAGGAATCAGTATATAACGGTTTAGTACGTCCTTTTCTGTCCTCTCATCCGGCAGTCCCTTTTCAGGTAGTCGCCCGCAGCTGACTTTCAGCGGCGCGCGACCACCGCCTGTTTTGTCGACACGATCGGTGGTTCTTGGGGTTGACGGCAAGAAGATGGTGGCGGGGGGATGCGACATCTATGATGTTAATTCTTTCATTTGACATCCCGCACTGCGGGTAGTGCTTTTGTCTACTCCTTTGAGTGACTGTGTGCATCTTCTTCGGGTGGTGTGCACTTCCCTTTGCCCCCACGTGGCGGGGAAACGGGGAGGGGGAGTTAGTGACCGCGTGAGAGGCGGGGCGGAAAAGTGGAAGGAGGGAAGGGTGGACAGGGGTGGGCAGGGGAAGGGGTGAACAGCGACTCTCTCTCTCTCTCTCTCTCTCTCTCTCTCTCTCTCTCTCTCTCTCT